TAGCAGCCATCCAGACAAGAATAAGGGAAGATGCCAAAACACAGAGGTAGAAGAAGTCGAGGGTGTTCAGAGCAGTGAACGGACCTGTGAGGCCGCATAAGTCAGAGGGGGTGGGAGGTAAGAGTGAGAAGGTCGAAGGTGCGTTATAGGCCCCAGCTGAGGTGAGCTGTGACCACCAGGTCTTGCCATCCGTACTTTAGAGATGGCACAGCATGTCGAGGGCTTTTTCAGACTGCACACTACAAGCTAGGTTCTTGTAGCTTTCCTGTGGACGCTGTAATGCTCTCCGCTGTAGCTCACACCATGCACACGTGCACACACGCAGATGTACACGCCACGGCAGGAGCCACCCCCCTTTCTCTGCAGCTTGGATGCAATTCTCTGCTATCAGCGGAGCAGTAGCACGTTGCTCAGGTGTGTTAAGGTGAGGAAGGCTGGGAGCAATCACTCTGCCTGTAGAGAAGCACTTGCCGTTTTTAATCTAGGCGATGACTAGTGGGGAAGGATGAAGGTGTGATGGCTGCAGCAAGGTTTGGGGTGGCGCCTACACAGTAAGCTCTGGTGGCCATGGGCGCTCGAGACTGGGAAGGTCAGACTGGAATGGTGTCAGAAACCATGAGAATAAAGTGAGACGTCAGCAAATACGGAAAAGCGGTGGGCCTCCTGGGACACGAGGGCAAAGGAAAGGCAGTATTTAGCGAGAATCTGTTCTTGGCAGGAGCAGGTCGGAAAGTCCCACCACCGCCGCCCCCACCTCCTGCTGCACACCGTATTTCTATCGTTTTTATCGGCAGAGGTTATGGACTCGGTTTTCAAACATTTCCCAGCTAAGATCACAAACAGCAAGCCGTTCAAGGGGCAGTCACCGGCAGGAAGTCGGCATGTTAGGGCTGGAACGTCGGAGAGAAGTTAAGAGGAGACAGAGATTTGAGGTTAAAGCTGAAAGAATTCATGGCGTCTGTCAGAGCGGGTGGGACAGAAAGTCAGAGGGTCAGAGACGTAGACCCAGGTGGGAACTATCTGCCTCAAGGTAGAAATTCAGCCAGTGGTGAAAGGAGAGATTGGTTAAATTGTTTAAAACCTAATTTATTCTACATTCTCCTAAATTCAGAGTTCTGATGATTTCAGATGGTTTGGCTCCCAGTAACACTGTCATTTTGTGTGAGTGACCTCATAGCGTACACTTTGCTCATCCAGAACTAAGTTAGTTCCTATGTTCAACTACCCAAAGAAACTGTTTCAGTGTTAAGGTAGTTAAAAAAGGAAGGAAGGAAGGAAGGAAGGAAGCCTTTGAAAGTACACCTATTACCAAAATATTGGAATTAATTGTATTACAAGGCAGTTTCATGTTCTTCTTCACCCCTTAGGGAAATTCTTTGGTTATTGTAAATGATAAAATAAATGTTCTGTGCACATCATAGAATTAGAAAGAATAATGCCTGTGCATACAGTGTCTGCTTCTGGAAAAAGCAGAACTGTAATTTATTTATTTATTTATTTATTTTTTTGGTCTAGCTTAACATGGCCTTTCAGCCTCCTTAAGAAGCCCCTGTGGGGTGTTATTCCAGTTGTATGGGAGAAGCAGCAGTCACCAGACTGGTTATGCAGGAGTTTTAAGTAGGAGAACCTACCTCCCTGTTTGGGGTGGCAGGTTCAAGTCTGTGTGGTGGTAAATCTTCCTTCGGAAGATGGTGCTCTATCTCATTTTTCAAAACAAATTAAAAATTACTGTATGAGATTAGTATGTTCCCTATATGCTATTAAGCAGTACTTTTAAAGATCATTGAGAATTAGCTCATTTAACTCTGGACGTCTGAGGGTATAGCTGAGAATGTGCCTTCTCCTCCTCCTTCCCCCTTCCACAACCTTCCAGTGGGTTTGCTGAAGCAGCTGCTGGCCCAGCAGCTGGGCGTCACTGAGAAGCACGCTCAGGAAGACTGGCGGCATTTCCCTCGATGCAGGACCGCGTCCCGGGGGGCGCAGGCAGACAGTGGGATCCGGAATACGGAAGGTATTAGGGCCCACCATCACGCCGAAGGACAACCGCCCTTTAGAACTGGAACTGGTGACAGTGCACCTCGTTACAGTCCACGGACTTCAACCGAATCTTCTGCTCCACGGGATTCGGTGGTACTGGCATCCCCAGAGAGCCAGGCAAGTAGCATTTTAGTAATGGACCACATGATTCCGACCCCAGAGATGCCTGCCGCAGAGCCAGAAGGGGGTCTGGATGAGAGTGGAGAGCACTTTTTTGATGCCCGTGAAGCACATAGTGATGATAATCCATCAGAAGGTGATGGAGCGGTTAAAAAGGAAGAGACGGATGTTAATTTGCGCATCTCAGGCAAGTTCCTTTCACATTTCAACTCTGGTTCTGATCACCGCTAACTGTCCCGTGTGCTGAAATGGATGTTTGCTACCCCAGCCTTAGAGTGTGTGCGTGTGTGGGTGTGTGTGCTTGGGGGCGTGTGTGTGCGTGTGCATGTGGAGGGGTGCGTGTGTGCCTGTGTGTGTGCGTGTGCCTGTGTGTGGGGGGTACAAGTGCGTGTGTGTGGGTGGTATTTATCCACCCCTCCATTCAGTAAATAATTACTGAATCTGCTGTATGTCACGACCTCGGGGTGCTGGGAAGTGTAGCAGTGACTGAAACAGAAGCCCCTTCGCCCCTGGAGCTGAACAGCTAGGGAAGGGGTGATGGCCCACACGTGAGCAGGTGGACAGTGTCAGGCAGTGAGAAGCTCTAGGAAGGAAAAGGAGTCTGAGCAAGGTGGGGGCAGTGACCAGGGCAGCCTGAATGCCCAGGATGGGGCCCCTGCCGAAGTGGAGACTGGGCGGAGGGAGGAGCAGGGTGGCCGGGCAGAGCGCAGCTTCTCATGTTGTGAGACGCAGGGAAGAAGGGATGGAGGCATTGCAGGGGGATTGGACAGAGAAGCAGCAGCAGGATCATTCAGAGACATTGTAGTTTCCAGCTCTGAGCCTGCAGAGGGCCACCTGATATGACATCACTAAAAGATCCGTCACATTTGCTGAGTCTCAGTTTAATCCAAAGCGAGGACTTTCCAGTGAACTCGGCGCCCTCCCAGGGTCGAGTGGCTGTCCCCGTTCACAGCCGTCCAGGCGAGCGCCGTCCCCGTGGCAATGGCAGCACCTACCACACTGCTCTGT